AAAAAAAAAAAAAAAAAAAAAAAAGAGGAATAAGGCAGCCACAAAACTGTTGTGTCCATCTGGATTTTATTACCAAAATTTTCTCTCTACGCATAGATGGACACAACCCAACCCATGATGTGTACATACTTGAATATGGAATAGCTTCTGACAGCCCCACATCTAGCCTTCCCAAAGATAGTAGATCAATTGCTAGCTATAAGCTTATCAAGAAAAGGATATCATATGATTATTTGTAACCAAAACACAAATTCGTAATTATGCAAGGATAATAAATCCCAAAAAATATATATATTAAAGACATGCTACAATCTCACAGAAACTGTCAGCACTGCAGATCCTACCCAATTATCAAGCTGGCATCTTGATAAAAATAGGGTAAGGGTTTTTGCCAAACACACATGGGGTGCCAACCAACGTTAAAAAAAGGGAAGCCTAAGAAAAATTAAATATTGGTATCNGTGTCAGCACTGCAGATCCTACCCAATTATCAAGATGGCATCTTGATAAAAATAGGGTAAGGGTTTTTGCCACACACACAAGGGGTGCCAACCAACGTTAAAAAAAGGGAAGCCTAAGAAAAATTAAATATTGGTATCAACTAAACAAGAAGCCATCTAGCTCTACTCTACACGAATCCATATGAAATATAACAAAAAAAATATTTTTAGAAAAGTAATGAATAAACGGAACTTCGATTAATTACAGAGAGCGAGAATGAGAAAGGGTCACCTGAAGAGCAATAAGCAGAAGAAGAAGAAGAAGAAGAAGCAGGTTGGTGAAGACAAAAATTGGATCAACCTGAACTTCGATTAGATTAAACTGTTGGAAATTCCTGCAAAACACTGAATATAGGGTTAGGGTTTCTTCTGAAAGCAGAGAGAGAAGAGAGAGAGATCAGATTATGGGGTTGCGTTGCGTTCAACGAGTGGGTTTGTCCTAAACAAAACCTAGGCGGATACACACCCATTTGGACAATGAATCCAAATTAAATAAAGTTATGCTTCACAAATACCTAAAAGCGCTATGTCATCCGTAAAAAATTGTAAATATTTATTCATAAATAAAGATATCCTATAACATAATTTTAACAATATAACAATTAAATTGGTATTATTTAACTTATATGCAGAACATATATAATCAAATTTTTATATAACGAAAGTCACGCTATAATTACTATAACATATTAATTCAAAAATATGAGAAAATATAATTATTATTGATCAAAACATCTATGATTTTAATATTTTTAAAAAACTTTATCTCAAATTTCAAAACAATTATCACTGTTTGTTTTTCCGCAAATTTTTATCTAAAGTTCATAACATTATCTCAGCACTATTTTTCCAATCTGAGTTGGTGTAACTTTTGTGAGGAAAACATCCAAAAATTTCACGCGAATTCTCGTAAATGTAAAAAATTTTGTTGAAAAATTAATATCAGTTTCCATTTCAGTTCAATTCGAGTTTTAATTATAATTATGTCAAATCGAGAATTGAATTTAAATTTAACTCAATTAATATTTATATCTTAAACCTACAAACTAATTCTTATCTATTCTTATTCACAGTGACACCATACTTTTTTTTTTATTTAATTATTTTTTATTATTTTTACAATTAATTTTAATTTGACTTCAACTTTGAAAACTCGTAAAATTCAAGTAAAATTAAGTTTAACTAAGAATATATATTCTATACTCGATAATCAAATTCAACTCAATTTGAATCCTAATTATAATCACTTCAAACTAATAATCGAGTAAAATGAAAGGATTCATGTAAATTTTTTGGCAAGAAAAAATTGGAAGAGTAATTTTGATCGTTCGATTAATAATTATAAAACAATCTGAATCGCAAAAAGTACAAGACAAACAATATTCACTCCTTTAGTATATAGATATATCACAAATAATATATATATTATTCATCTATTATATCATTTGAATATTATAGTATTTTTATTTCAATAGAAAATATGACTTATATTATAGTCATTCGACTCATTTTGACGTAAAGAATCTGTATTTAAGATCTATTTTATTTATTTAATTTTTTTTTAAATAATCCTTAATTATATAGAATCATAATTAACGATCTCATTAATGTGTAGTATGAGATAGATATAGAGTTATAAGAGAGATAAGAGTCTTAAAATTATGGAAGGAATGAAAGTCTTGTTCAATAAATTAGAGGGAGAGAATTTCGCATTAAGACCGTTGGATCAAAATCGTCAAACGATTTGAGCCGCGAAAAACTTAAGACAAACTTTTTTTTAACTATTTTATTATATAAATATTTGATATAGTTAGTGGACTCCACTAATTCAATCACATGCGTTAATTTAAGATATAAAATTTAGACAACAATTTGGTCAACGTTACCTTATTTGTCGAGATTTACTAAGATTAGGTTTTCTAGTTTGATCAAGATTAGAGTTATTAATTGGGCTTTTGGATGCTCGATCTATTGTAAAGAATTTTTTTGTCATAAAGTCCAGATGTCATTCATGTGGGTTATTAAAGACAATTGTAGTCACATTTACTAATTTATCTTTAATAACATAATTAATGAAATTATAAAATAGATAGGAACAATGACACAGTAACAATACCACTCACAACAACAACGACACAAACTCATCTAAATATGAAAAAAAATCTTACTGCATATGAATTATTATTTTAAATGAACCCAATTATGTGTGATTACAAATAAATTAGTATGAGTTAAATATATTTTAACACAACATAATTTACATAATTTCAATTAGTAATACTAAATTCACAAATTGTCCGAGGCTTTGTTGTAGTGTTCCCTAATCAGAATCGCTCCCACACATAGAATATTCGTGATCAACATCTTCAACGGGATATTGATCGACAAATAGGATGATATAACTTCCGACCAAGAGAATGGTTATGTCCAGTATGCTCCTTTCATGCTATATTGTGATAGGGGTCAGTAAAATAGAGTCGGGAATACTTCGAACTAAACTCAAATTCCAACAAAACCCTTTACCTTTACTACCAATTGCATGTACTTAAAATTTTAAACTCAATTTAATTTGGGTTTAATTCGACTTATAATTCAAATTTTATTCGACTTGAACCCGATGTTCAGATCCGAAGAACCGGCACTCCAACCCGGTATTGCACAAGTTTCCAAGAAACTGCAAATACTAGGGACTCTCATGAACGTACCACCTCTCACCGTCTCTTCCTCTCCACCACAATTTCTATGGCAGGTTCCTCATTCATGCGTAAATATTGAATGCAAATGGGATACCATGTTATTGATGATATACTATTGTCAATCACTAAAAAAATTTCAAATAAATAAGATAAACCTCACTTGAACTTTCATAGCAAAAGAGTGGAGAACTGTGTACTTACATGTAGGCCTAGCAATTCCAAACAAAACTCGTGAACTCGACATTAATTTAGCTGATTTTGGTGTAATTTTAATGGATTTGGGTAATTAACGGGTTAACTTAGCAAACCCGTGAAATAAACGAACTAATTTCGTATTTAATCCTTAAACTCGTTTCAACCCGTTAACAGTGGTATTATAATTTTTTTTTTAAAAAATTAGATCTCTCAGCCTCTACCTCATCTCACGCCTCTCATCTCTTAGATTCCTTCAAATTAATAATCATTTAATGTTTATTTTTTGTCTTTAGTTTTTTGCACAGTTATAATTTATTGTCATAGTAAACAGGTCAAACATGTGTAATATGCGGCGAGTTAATAATTTTTCTTGTAGACTTAAAATACTCTACCATATTCTCTTATTTAACGGGTGACACGCAGATTATACCGGGTAACCTGTTTAATATACGATTCGCATATGAGTATGATAGTTAGACTCGTTTATATTAACGAATGGGATACAAATGAAGGATTTTTTTGACACAAACTCGTTTCACTTCACACGAAACTGTTCCACTTGACACGATTGTCAGACTTACTTACATGACTGATTAGTTATTAATTTTTGTAGAATTTATTTATTTATTTATTTTAATATTATTAATTAGTGATACGATATCACTTTGTCATATGATCTCACCGTTATAATGAATATTTTCGCCTCATTAGGCACGTCCATTGTTACTTCAACCACAAGCTTCTCTTGACATTATTACTATGCCACTAATTCCATAAAAAAAGACCTCTCTTTGTTTGGTTTGAGTTGGCCGTACTCTACAAGTAGTAAGGTTTTTAGTGGCGACATTATCGGTGATGATATTTGTATTGTCACTAATTCATTATATTTTGCGACAATAATGTTATCTTGCCTATCATTTAGTGATGACCACTAACTTTGTCAATAATTATGTAAATTTAGATGTGATCGGTGTCAAATTTAACTTTGTCATTAATAATTTTGCCATATATAGTAGGGCGGGAATTTTTTCAGCGCGGGTGAAGTTTCGCCACCAAATCTTAACTTAACTAGTGGCAATAAAAAAATTCAAAACTTGATATTATTTTTGTGATAATATTTTTAGAACAAATTACACTTAGTCCTCCCAAGCTATTCACTTTCTCACACTGTACCTTAAACTATGGGTTTGAGTTTTACATTATCCCAATTTTTGACTTTTGTCCAACTTTTGATGGAAAATGAGGGGGACGTGAGATCCTACAATGTTATGAGATGTGGTCTTTCTCTCCTTAAATGGGAAGAATTCAATTTTTGCCCTCTGAAATGTGAAATGAGAGGTACAGTTTAGGAGGTTTAAGTATAATTGGGGAGGAATTCAGCAAAGGCATGCCCCTTAAAAATTTATTTCTCAAAATCAGTTATTTTTCAAACTCAATCATTTTTAAAAAACATCATTTAAAATGACGAGTTCTAATAAAAATTAAAATACATGCAAGGATAAAAATGTTATTTGAAGTGACGTTTTAAAAAATTTCAGTTAATTTTTGGTAGCCCAATGTTCAAGGAGCACAATTGAGCTATGACTAAACGAACACTGAAAGACAAATTGGCAATGCGCAAAATGTCAACTATTTCGTAAAAGTCTCATTTGCTAGAAGCCTAGAACTATTTGCCTAATTTTGACTGCATCAAACTCCTTAATTATGGAAGTTTGGTTTGATGAATAAACATATACAAGAAACTTTTCAGTCATGAAAGTTTTGGTTTTTCTTCCTACCAGTATGTCGAACGAATTTTCGTTTTTCCCTATTATTGACTGTGTACTTGTTTACGCGTTGGTTTTTGTGAAATTTTTTAAATACAATTCAACAAAGTCTTAATAGGAATTATTATGTAGGGTCAACTATATGAATCATATATTTCTATTGTGCTATTTGCGAGTTCTTTGAAGGTGGAAAGTCTAAAGTTTTTTTTGCACTTGAGGAATCAGTCTAGGACAGCAAATGTAGGTACAGAAACTCCAAGAGGTAGTTTAAGTAATAAGAAGAATGAGGTATAAATCCAAACGTCTTGAGTTTGAATCTTAGCTACTCTTTGGAGTTAGACCATGAGAGATTTATCACTCATGAATACCCTAATTCCAGGGTTGATAGTGTGTCTTTGACAGAACCGGAGAAAGAATTGATCGAAATACGAGTACGCTGACTCGAACATTTCTAATCGTTAAACTCAAAAAAAAATTTATAGGTAAACGAAGGGCTCAAACAACTTACTCCATACCATCACCCATCCTTACTAACCGAAACTCAAGCTAAAATATGCTTAAGTACAGTTTAATTGTAATTGGTTAAGATTGAGTTCTAGCCGAGTTTTTGTTAATTTTAATTTCAAATGGAATTCAATAAAATCTTATGAGCATTTTGAGTTGAATTAAATTTCAAATGGAATTTAATTTTTCATCAAAACTTTCAACAATTAAAGCTTCGAACTTAAAAATCAATCCTCAATATTTTTAAGCAAAAATATCTCAAAATTTTATAATAAACCATAAACCCCGAAATTTTAATTTTTTTGAAAAAAAAAAGATTAAAGAAAAGAGAAAAAAAAGAGTGCACATCATCTGAAAATCATTTAGGTCTACGTCCGACCGAAGCCGTTCATCGTTCAAACCTTTTTTTAACAATAAAATTAATTATAATTGTATACAACCACCTATTCGAGCCTAGCAGATTTTCACGTTGCTCGATTTCAACTCATTTTCGAAATAACATTAGAAACGCAAAAGTCAATCGAGGCCAAATCAATTGCATTCAAATTGCTAGTATCGGCATCTTGATCCACACTCTACCCGAAAAGAAATAAATAAATATTTCATAGTTGTTCATGAATTAATAGTCAAGCTCCATTCACGGCATTGAAGGAGGCATTCTTCGACTTTTCGTATGGGGCGCACAGCAAGGAAGAGTTGGCTAAGCTTGGTCTGCCAGTCGTATTTTCTAATTTGGGTTCCAAACTTTCTCCATTTGTTCTTGTCAGATCCTACTAATTCCACCACCCCAAGACAAGGACTGGCGTTGAAAGCTCACCGTCCGTGGCAGGTCAGGCACTCTCTCTCACCACCCCCTTCACCATATATATGCACTTTGTGACGTTCAAGCTTCTCATCAATCAAATAGCAATACCACTTTTTTCCCTACACATTGTTCTTACAGAGAGAGAGAGAGAGATGGGTAAGTTCATGAGCATGTTTGTTGTTTGTGTTTTTGCCGCAGCTATGCTGCACTGTGCTGCAGCCCAAACGGTTTACGTGGTTGGAGACAGCTTGGGTTGGACGATACCTTCAAATGGCGCAGCGGCGTACACCACTTGGGCTTCTGGTAAAACGTTCATGGTTGGTGACACCCTAAGTAAGTCCCTCACCCTCTTCTTTACCAATCTCAGTCTTTTTAAACCTATATCTGAAGATGCCTAGTAATTAGGCCTCATAATTCTAAGACACATACCTGATAAAATCGACATGCAATTAGTAATGTTAGATTAAACTTTAAAGAGTTTAGATAGTAAAGAGTTGATTTTGGTACTTAATTACTTTATAAATGGATTGATGTAAACAATAGATATGCACCGAACCCACCCTTTAATCACTAAGAATTGGTCGTTGAACTTGTTTTTATTAAAACGCGGGGTTATTGACTCTATGCTTTTCTTGTAAGAACAGGGTTTTCAAATCTACTTTTAAAATGTGTAGTAATATAGTAAATAAGTTCAAAATTACCATAAATTGATAAATTTATTTAGAAAGTGCGGTTTTCATTCAGGTATTTAATTCACACATTTTGATTAATGACCACTTGATGCGGCGTTTTGTAGCCTTCAACTTCTTAACCAACCAACATGATGTCCTACAAGTATCAAAAGCATCCTACGATGCCTGCATTTCAGACAATGCTAGTGGCAATCCGATGATGACAGGACCAGCCAATGTCAGCCTTAATGCTGCAGGCGATCACTACTACGTTTGCACCTTCGGCGACCACTGCCAAAACGGTCAGAAGCTAGCCATCACCGTCTCTGGTACTCCTCTGGCTTCACCTCCTACTACTACAACCACTCCTCCGCCTCCAGCCACACCTTCTCCGACCTCAAACACCCCTAGTGCTTGTCCTCCAACTGATGGACCGACGACATCAACCACACCGGGCGGTGGAGCTGCCCCTCCTCCTCCGAATTCTTCATCATCTGCTGTGCTTTCTAATTTTTTCCTCGTGTTCATGGCCTTTGCCATGGCCCTTTGCATTTAGATAGTAGAAGAGAGTGGATAGAACATTATGTTTTTTTTTTGCTATTCTTGAGGGTTTGTTTGTATTACGATTAGAATAAGATTTACATTTATGCAATTTACTTTTGTATCATTGGTATTGTTTTCAAACACGAGCTTACAATCAATAAAACGGTAAATTAATGTCACTTTTCTCCCCTGAAATTTGTACTTAGAAGCAATGCTTTTTATTAGCTAGAATAATACACATAGAAGTGGATGGACCTGCATTAATGGGCTGGCAAGATCACCTAATTACTCAGTGCCTGGGTTAAAATTTTAATCAATCATAACTATTGGATTATGAGCGGACCTTATTGAATTTTTACACTCACAATTAATCTAATAACTGGTTTAAATCCCAAGTTAGATCTTCATAATATTGTTGATGTTATAATTGCTTCGCACGAGAGAAACTGATAGTCGATGATTGTGTTTTGATAATTTGACGTCATTCTGAACACGCGTTATTAGACATATAGTTGCAACCCGAATTTTGAATCCACTTCATTATTGGTACATCACGTATATCGGTTAAACTAAAATATTATCAAGTTTCCTATGTCTATACGAGTAATCAACTATTTTTCATATGCCGTGTGAGCCAAAACATCTAAAAGTCGACAAATCTAACCCCATGCATACGGTTGAGGTGCATAATCACCGAGCAATTTCATGCTTCAATTTTGGACAACGGCATGCCCTCTTGGGTGATGCACCCACAAGGGCCTCAAAGTAATTTGGGGTTTAAAGCGGTATTTTTAAATAAAGTATTTTTACTTTTAGTATTAAAATTTTTTATTTAGAATTAATTTTTCTTGTTTTTTGAGTTGTAAAAGTACTAATCAAGTTTTTATATTTAAGTTTTGTTAATTATCATATCTTTTTGAATTGATAGTATCACTAATCCAGTTAATCTTTCTTATGGTATAGTCAAACTTAAGTAAAATTTGATTAATTTTAATTCTAAAAAGTTTCTTTCCATAGAAACAACTATTACAAGAACTGTTAAAAATATTATGTAAACAATGCATGCATTTAGAAAAGAATATAACCGTTTTATGTAATTTAGATTCTCAATTAATGTATTTTAATTTCTTTCATTTGTACAATTTCTTTCAATGCATTTAGTTCTGAAAATAAATCTAAACTATCAATGACACAAAAAAGTATCATATTTCAAGTAAAGACGAGAGGAAGACAATATTTTTTTAAACTATTATCATTTAATGATTTCAAATTTTTTAGGTTAAATAAAAAATATATATATTTTCATACATTTTAAATTGTTCAAATCTATTCTTTATTAAAGAAATAGCTTTATGTATTGTGTGTGTATATATATATATATATATCTTTTTCAATTGATAGTATAACTAATACATTTAATTGTAAATTTTTACTAACTAAGTTGACGGAAAATAAAATAGCATTTCAAAATTTTCAATTTCATATGTTACTACAATTAGCTTCACTTCTTGTTTTAAGATCTTCACTAATTTTTTGCTAATTGTAACAATGCATCTCTTATTTTTGGAGTTTAAAATCTTATTGCTTTAACATTTTCAAGACGACTTTCCCAATGTGACAATGACTTAAGAGTTAAACTTTGAACATTATCTTATAAAATTTTTCATCAGTTTGTAGAAGAGGAAAATAACGAATATGCTTAGAATATGCTTAGTTTGTAGAACAAAAATGATATAGTCTTCGAACAACAGTTAGTTATATCGTAAAGTACTATACTTAGATTATGATAACCACATAGTATGTAAAAATATTTTAGGATTTATCTTGAGTAGTCTTTTTTGTACACCTTAATATTTTTCTTTCATATTAGATCCATTGTCATATCTTTATCCTCGTACATCGTTAATATTAACCTTCAAGATTATTTACTACGTTTATAAGTTTATCAAAAAGACATTTTCTAGTTGTATCGTCTACTCTAATAAAATCCAAAAAATATTACTCTATTTTTATTGGACTAATTGTAGTATCTACGCATCGTAATATGAGAGATATTTGTTCTTGATGGCTTCCAGCCAGAGTTCAATCAAATATGATTGAATAATATTTTACTTCTTTAATTTTTTTTAATAATATTACTTCTTATTTCATTTCCTAATAAACTTATCAATTCATTTTGTATATTATAGCCAAGATAATGGTTATCAATTCTATCATGTTGAATACGACGAACGTGTTCTTGCATTACCATATCAAATTCTACAATTATATCAACTAACTTAAAAAAAAATTCATTATTTTCTTAATATATCTTTTCATTTTTTTCCCAAAAAAGGCTAATTTTTTTTTACCAAGATTTTTTACAACAGTCATAATTCTTAATAATACATTTTGCCAATATTCTTTCTCTCTATTAATTTGTTCTTGGATAGTTTTATTTCTAAATCAATCCAAGTATTCATACTAGTAATACGTTCATTAGTTATTTCATAATTTTTAAGTTAAACACTAAGATTTCTCCAATTTTTAATTCCTTCATTGACTAGTTTACTTGTATTATGATTCATATTAAACAGCTTATAGCAAAAACAAAACACTCTATCCAAATATTTAAATACAATAGCCATCTTCTATCATGTGTCTCCCCATTTGTTAATTTTTGAATACAATGTGTAATAGAAAAATGTCTAGAGAAAACATCCGAGATAAAATTTATATTATCTCTAATTCAATCCTTTTCTACTAATAAAATCTCATAATTTTATGTCAATATTTTTCCATTAACTTTAATCATAAATATTTATAGGACTATAATCATTTGTTTCATTAAGATTTTGATTATCTTCTGTTTCATTTTCTTCTATTTCATCATTTTTTATTTTATTGTCTTCTATTTCATTATTTTTTATATAGCAATTGGTTTGAGGTGCATAGCCCAAACCAATCTGGGGCTGCCAGGCTAGCCAGAAGGAAACAACCCATGATTAAGCCCAACCTAAATCATCAGAAAGATGCCAACCCTGGTCAAGGCTAGGTCGGTCCAACGATGAAAACGGCCCAACAAGCCCAAGGGAGGACAGAAGGGATCACCGTTGCCACGTCATCAGTTTCTAGGAATTCTAAAGGCATGTTTCAATTTTTGGGATGGGCAATAGGTGTTTTATGTCCCAAAGTAAGCATCAAGCAAACACAGTAGAGCATATTGAGATTTGCATTGATGCAACAGGTTTCTGTATCTTGGTTTGACCCTAGAACATGAGATCAAATACATGGCAAACTTTCTAATAGCAAGAAGGAAATCACAATTTATAGGCAACACAGAAAGAAAATGAGATTCTTAAGCAGTAAAATGAGATCAAACCATCAATTGAACTGGTATTGGTAATAACTGTTGATCTGCAATCGTTGGATTTTAGCGAATGATTAGCTGACTGCGTTTATCTGCCTGTAATGAGAATTGTTGGAGCGATATGAGCTTCAACCCCTTTGTGCTTTCTCCTGATTTTGATAGTTTCTTTAACTGGCAGGGGTAGTATTTCTCCCTGAGAACAATATCATCTACACACGTCCAAGTAGCACCTCTGGGAGAGCTATCAGCCCACAAAAACCTCTCCGAGAATGGATTCACCAGACTCCCACGGAAATCCTCCGCTGGTTCACAGATCAAACCCTAAAAACAAACAACAAGGCAAAGCTGAAACTTTAGTCCATGGGAGATGCATAAACAAACAAACACACACACACACAGATCACCATGGGAGTCTTACTTCTGCCATGGCTTTGATCTTCAATGTGATATCATCACTGAGGAGGACGAGCTGTCCATCATTCTTAATATTCCTGAAAAAAAGGGCACATTCGAGGATATGGTCTTCCGCTGTCGGTGAAACAATTTCCAGTAAACTACCACAGGGAGAAAATGGCACTGAGCCAAGAGGGAACTCTCCATTCTCTTTACCGAATTGATGATATAAAGGAGAAGCAGGTGGACTTGGTGCAATAGACCTTCCCTCTTCCACTGAGCTCTGAACATGAATCCATGATTCATTATTCAGCATACACTCTTCAATCCATTGTAATGCTGAAGAAACCTGTGTCTTTCTTCTAAACAAACTCCAACACTGTTTCTTGCAATCCAGCTCTCTTATGACTGAGATTAAAGAGCATCAACACTACCACTCAGAAACGGAATGGCTTCATAAATACAATATGTGAGATACTGCAGAAATCATAAATATCATTGAAGAGAAATTTTTACCAATTCTAGGAATGATCAGTTGAGTGCCCTTGAGGCCTTGCAAAAGTTGCAAAGCCTTCCTTGACTCCTTGTTTAGCAGACAAGCACTGTCCACTACCATGGTCCACTTCTTATTTTCCTCCCTACCAGCATTGTTCTGCATAGGCATTTGATATATAGATGGAAAAAAATCCTAGTTAGAACATCTGCAGGAAATTTGCAGAACAAAAGAAAGAAAATTTCCCTCCGAACTTTGACAAAAGGGGCAATTAACCTTCTCAATGGTTGGAGGATAGTTGATAGATTTGCCACTCCTCAGGGTGGGATTAAGGACACAAGATTTTGAATTGCTCTTGTCATTAGAGTTCACAACCAAAGGCCGAAGTGGCACCCTGTCTCTTCTACTCTTAAGTATCGCCAACCCTGGTTCCAACCTTGCTTGATTTCTGGAGGCAGGTCTCAATGATCTCTGCTTTTGGAACAATTTGGGAGTATTATTCTCTTTGTCTTCATCAGAAAATGAAGTACTTATGTCTGCAGGAACTGGAGGAGCTGAAGGATTCTCTTTCTTCCTTGATGATTTCGAAAACTTATCAGAAAATAACAAATCAAATCTCTCAAAATCATCACCCGTTGCTTGGCTTTGATTATTTTTACTTCCAAGTGTGGGATTAAGGACAGAAGATTTTGAGTTGCCCTTGCCAGTAGAGTCCGCAAGCAGAGACAGAAAAGGCACCTTATCTGTTCTGCTTTTACAAGCTGCCAGTTCTGCTTCTAATCTTGCTCCATTTCTGGAGGCAAGTCTCAAGTATCTCTGTCTTTGGAACACTTTTGGAGTCCGACTCTGTCTGTCTCCATCAGAAAATGAAGAATTGGTGTACTCAGGAATTGGAGGTGCTGGAGGATTCGTTTTCTTCACAGGTGATTTCGAACCCTCATCAGAAAATAACAAATTCAGACCCTCAAAATCATTTACCATTGACAGAATCTGATTATTTTCACTTCTTAGGGTGGGATTAAGGACAGCAGCATTTGAGTTGCTCTTGCCAGTAGAGTCTACAAGGAGAGACCAACAAGACACTTTATCTGTTCTGCTCTTCAATAACGCCATCTCTGGTTCCAATCTTCCTCTCTTTCTGGAGGCAGGTCTCAGTGATCTCTGTTCTTGGAACATTTTTGGAGCCCAATTCTCTTTGTCTTCATCAGAAAATGAAGAATTTATGTATTCAGGCAATAGAGGTGCTGAAGTTTTTGCTTTCTTCGTAGATGTTTTCGAACTCTCATCAGAAAATAACAAATCCAGACCCTCAAAATAATTGTCCATCGATTGGATTTGATGATCTTCACTTCTAATGGTGGTGGGATTAAGGACAGAAGCTTTTGAGTTGCTCTTGCCAGTAGAGTCTACAAGCAGAGACCGAGAAAGCACCTTATCTGTTCTGCTTTTCAGCACTGCCATCTCTGGTTCCAATCTTGACCGGTTTATGGAGGGAGGTCTCAATGATTTCTGTTCTTGGAACACTTTTGGAGTCTGATTCTCTTCATCTTCATGAGAAAATGAAGAATTTACGTAGCCAGGAACTGAAGGTGACAAATGATTTGCTTTCTTCTTAGATGATTTCGGACTTTCATCAGAAAATAACAAATCCAGATCCTCGAAGTCATCATCTGTTGATTGAGTTTGATTATTTTCGCTTCTCCGGGAGTGATTAAAGACAGAAGCTTCTGAGTTGCTGTTGCCAGTGGAGTCCACAAGCAGAGACTGAAAAGGCACCTTATCTGTCCTGCTCTTCAATAAAGCCAGCTCCGATTCCAATCTTCCTCGATTTCTGGAGACATTTCTCAATGTCACAGATGACTTCGAATTCTCATCAGAAAATAACAAATCCAAACCCTCGAATCCATCAGGTTGAATTTGTTTACTTTCAACACACGAGAAGCTTCCATCCTGTGAAGCAAAAATAAAGAAAACAAAAAGTAACTCAAAAACAATTCAACAAACAACTTCATGAATTAAATTCTTAAGACTAACCTGGTTTGTCTGTTCTAATCTTTCTTCCACCGACGAATCTAACTGCGGGATAAATGGATCCTCTAAATCATAGGCACGGGTCAATGGAACCCAATGCAGCATGTAAACCCTACTTGAGGCACCAAGCTGCACTGTATCACCCTCATTCAACTCTACTGGAACTCCTTGTTCGATCTTCTTTCCCGAAACCAAAGTCCCATGTACTAAAATAACCACAATCACTCAACGTGAAAACTCAAACCCCATTTATATACGCACTAACTGACACACACACAAACATGCACTTTACACACAAATACAAAATTGAACAATTACCAGCAGATAAATTAATCAAGAACCACTAACCCACTCAAGCACATAAACATCGCACACACACAGAGAAAATTAAACAATTGCCAGAATCTCAATCAATTTAGAGCCAATGACCGATCAAACTCAGACCACACAGACCCAGTTTTATGCACATGCAGGCCATTGAACCCGCTCCGTCACTTAAACTAGCTATGATTGACAACCAGGATCAATTAACTAAGAATCAATCAAAATTCAGATCACACACACACACAGACAAATGGGCAAATATATAGAGGAAAAGTATAATAAATAGTAGACAAACATCAAACAATTATCCAACAACCCATCTTAGGCACATAGCATACTCCCAGACAGCCATAGGGGCTATTTGATGAAAAAATCAACCAGCCTAAAGCCTACAATCATAATCAAGAACCAGCAATCCATCTAAATTCAGAACATACACACAAAGTTATATCCGTACACGTGTGCGCAATATATATATATATATATATATATAGAGAGAGAGAGAGAGAGAGAGAGAGAACCAAGTAACTAGATTCCAACCCACCCACCCTCACATAAAGAGGACATTTTAGCCTTAAAGCACCATCAGAAATCAAGAACAAAAAAACTCAGATAAATTCGATTCCTGCAGCTAAGCGAGCACACACATACAGAGAAGGAGAAATAAAATGGAAAATACCAGAGCATAAGTCAATTACAGAGAGCTTCCGGGAAGAGGGTCTGGAATGAATTCTAACATGAAATCTGCTAATGCTAGGGTGCTCCAACGTAATATTGCAATCTGGGTGCCGTCCAACCAGCAAGCTTTCCTCATACACCTGATGATTTGACCTTGATTTGTCACTATTTTCGTCAAAGATTGAAGGTAGGTTGTTTAAAAGATAGATGTTCTTGAGAATAGAGTTGTTCTTGAGGACTGTGAATACTGGAATTTTCCTTTCTTGGTCATCTGATTTGTGTGGTTCTTGCTTCCCAGCCATAGCACAGAGACAGAGATACAGAGACAGAGAGAGAAGCAAAACAAAAAGGGGCTCGATCTTTGAAATGGAATGGGAGGGATTGGGGTTTTTGAATGAATCTTCGTAACGTCTATTTTCCGTTTAGGGCTAATCTCAACTTATACCCCAAAAGATTAATCGAATCTTAATTTATACCCTTGAAATTTAAAAATATAAATTTATCCCCTAAAATATATAAATACATACCAATATGCACCTGAGACTAACTACAACCTATTTGGATTAATTATAAATTGCACTTTCAAAATTTAAATATTTTACATCTATGATCTAAAAATAATTTTATCTATTAATACTTGTTAAAAAATACTTATTTTTTGCTTATAATACTCGTTAAATTACTATTTTTCTATCTACAATTGTGTTATTATTATTTAATTTTAATTTGATCGAACAATCAAAAAATTTGTGTCTAACTGTAGATAGAAACTAGTTATTTAATGAGTATTATAGCTAAAAAATAGGTGATATATATATATATATATTTTTTTTACTAAGTCAAACACGACACAAAAATATTATAATATAATACAATTAAGAGTTATTTACAAGCATTAATAGATGACTTTGGGTCATAAATATGAAATACTTAAACTTTGAGGGGGTATAATTTATAATTAATTCAAATTTTTTTAACAGCAAATTGGACGGAGTTAACTTCAGGTACACATTAATACGAATTTATGTCTTTTAGGGTTAAATTGATATTTTTAAATTTTGAGAGTACAAATTGAGATTTAAATGATCTTTTAGTGTACAAGTTGAGATTAGCACTTATGTTTAATTGCGAAATTTTTTCATTATTTTATTTCTTTTTTATTTTTTTGTTCTGTTTAATTGCGAAATGAAAGTGTATTTTATTATTTTGCAAAACTAATTTAGATATATTTTCATAATTCAAGTAATATATATGTACTATCGATAATCCACACTAAGCAAGTGTTAATGCATAGGATTAAGGAAAGCTTGGTGTGTAATTAAGATTTAACTTTTTAGACAAATATCAAGTGCAACGATATATAATATAGATTTGAATCTTAATTACTGCACTTGATATTCTCAAAAATGAATATTCTCAAAATATAACAAACAAATTGTCCATTTTCAAAATTGATGTATGCTCTCAAAATAAAACATTTTAATTGATCCGTAGCAATATCAATATGTATTTTTTTTTTTATAAATATTTACTAAGTAATTTGACGAAAATAAAATACCATACTAAATAGTCATGTCCAATAAATATTCAAAATGACTAAAATACCTTCTCCTTATTTTGTATTTCTTTCAATCTTCTATTACTCATGGGGTTCAAAAGTTGACATGGTTGGGCCCTCCATGGTGGAGTGGCATGTTAATGACTCAGAGTCCCTTTCCCCTCCCTTCTCCCATGTAAAATATCGTTGCTTATAAAAAAATAAATGGTAAATTATATTCACCTGACATTTGATTTTATTACATGAATACACTCTTATATTTTAAAAATAAAACTAAAACCCTAATTGTTAGACGGCGTTAACTATCTTAATAAAAAAGCTTATTTGCCCCTCTCTTTAACATAAACTCAAACTAAGCCCCAAATCTATCCCTAACCCCCAACCTAACCTTCGTCGTCCTCTGCACCCAATGTTCCCATTGCTTTCTCTCTCTCTCAAGACGAAGAACTAGCCTGAAATTATCCGTCTTCTCTCTCCACCATTACAGCGGCTTTCAGTAGAAAAACCAAGGGTCTGTTTGGTTTGCGTTTCAAAAAATAGTATTCGAAAACAATTTTTGAGAAAAATTTTAAGAAAGTATTTTTAAATTACTAAACCTGTTTGGTTATATATTTTTGAAAATAGTTTTAAAGAACAAAAATTATAAAATCTGTTTGGACAAAATTCACAATTCCCACCTCTCTTTCTTTCCCCCTCTCTCTGTGTCCACAAAACAAACTCACACACGCACACACACACACAAAAGACACACACAAATCTGTAGTTGTTGCACGAGAGAGAGAGTGAGAAAGAGGCAGACGTTGGGCAATGAAGAAAGAGAGACAACCACTGGGCAGTGAAGAGAGAGAGGAAAAAAAAAGACGCTAGGCAGTGAAGCACAACGACGATGCTAGAGAAGAAGAGCTGGGCAAAGTGGAGAGAGGGAGAGGAAAAAAAGAAGAAGAAGAAGACGTTGTTTACTACTAAAGGGACTTGAAGGGCAGATCTCATTTAACTGGTTTTATCATGTCTCCGTGTTTCCATAATTTTCAAAGAAAACTATGAAAACAAATTTAACTTGTTTTTTGTTTTTGTGCTCCAAATCTCTTTTTTTTTTTTTTGAAAATTTTGAGAACAAAAATGCTTAGCAAATAAGTTTTTGATGTTTTTGAAATTTTGAGAATAAAAAATTATTTTGCAGATGCTAACCAACACAAGCCCCAATTAGCCCAAAATCACCGAGAATCATTCCAAAATCGCAGAAGAAATCAAAATGGTTGAAAGCTTAAAAAAATTGAGATATCAAAAAGACAACAATAGTTTTTGAAACCCTAAGTCTCTTCTCTTTCATCTCTCAAATTTGAGGTGATGGTGGGTGATTTTGAAACCCTAACTTTCTCTCTTTGTCTTGCAATTCTAAAGCATTTATGTGGTGGCAGTGGTGGTGATGGTGATTTGTTTGCGCGTGTTACTGAGTTGGCGGCTATGCAGTAGTGACAATGTTGTGGAGGAGAAGAGTCATGTATAGAGATGGTTGATGATGGGTTTTGGCTAGGTGGTGGTTTCAGTGGTGGATGCGAAGGTGGTTTCCATGGCGTTGTGGTTTCTCTTTCTCTATCTTTGTCTCTCTTTCTCTGTGATGGTGGTGTTTGGATGTGTTTGTTGACAGATGCACTACTGTGGTGGTTAGGTTTAGGCAATGGTGATAGTGGCAGAATTGGTGGTGATGGTGGGAAGAATAAAAATTTATGTAATTAGATAAATAATAAACAAAATTAAATTTAATATGGGTTAATTGGATTAGCTAACTATTAAGGGTTTTAAAAAATGATTACTTTTTAAATTGTACTACTAGTACCAAATATTATTTAATAAACAAAAAAATTAATATTTTATTTATTAATGTAATGTATTTAGAAAACTTGAGATAGTTGTGAATGAAAAGGGATACTCAAATTAAGAGTAGAACCCCGTATATATATCCAAAAATAATACAGAGTGACTTAAACATCCTTGTAGTTTAGGCAAAATATAAAAATCATAGTAAGGGTAAAAAAGGGAAAAGAAATCCTAATAAACCTAGACTATCTATACTCCAACACTCCCCCTCAAGCTAGGCGCAAAAATGTCAACTAAGCCAAGCTTGACAACGGAGTCCCGAAGAATAGACAGAGTGACAGGTTTGGTAAAAACATCCGCAACTTGATCACTGGTCCCCACAAACGATGGAGTAACAAGACCACTGCTGACCTTCTCCCGAAGAAAGTGAACATCGATCTCTATATGCTTCGTTCTCTCATGTAGTACAGAGTCAGAAGCGAGCTGAATAGCAGATTGATTATCACAATATAATGTGGATGGAGAGGTCACTGAAAAACCCAACTCGTCAAGAATCGATCGTAGCCAGATAATCTCACATGTGCCAAGTGCCAATGCCCGATACTCTGCCTCTGCGGACGAGCGGGAGACAACTGCCTGCTTCTTGCTCTTCCAAGAGATAAGATGAGTCCCTCGAAAAGCACAGAAACCCGTAGTAGATCGACCATCACATGCTCCCCCATAATCTGAATCTGAATAACAGGCTAGAGAACCGGTCTGAGATCCTGATGCATAAAACAACCCAAGTCCAGGACAAGACTTGAGGTACCGAAGAATATGATAAACTGCATCAAGATGAGGCTGACATGGCCTATGCATGAACTGACTAACTCGGCTAACTGCGAATGAAATGTCCGACCTAGTATTGGCTAAGTAGATAAGTCTACCTACCAATCTTTGATAAACTGTCGGATCTTTCAACTCCTCATCTTCAGCAGTAAGCTTCAGGTTTGGAATCATAGGTGATGATGCCGGTTTGCACCCCAACATCCCAGTGTCTGAAAGAAGATCCAAAACATACTTTCTCTGAGAAAGAACAATACCTCTGCTTCTACGGGCAACCTCAATCCCAAGAAAGTATCGCAGAAATCCAAGATCCTTCACATCGAAGGCCTTCCCAAGGTCTATCTTGACCTGCGCAGTCCCAGAAACATCATCACCAGTAATAATAATATCATCAACATATACCAGAAGGATGACACACTGTCCAGAAGTATTCCGTCGAATAAAGCAGGTATGATCAGAATGACACCTGGTGAACCCCAATCGTATGACTACATCACTGAAGCGAGAGAACCAGGCTCGTGGCGACTGTTTCAGTCCATAAAGAGACTTACGCAGTCGACATACCTTTCCAGCATACTCCCCCTCACCACGAAAGCCCGGTGGTGCATCCATATAAATAATCTCGTCCAGATCACCGTGAAGAAACGCATTCTTCACATCTAATTGATGAAGAGGCCAAGAGTACTCCGCAGCCAGAGAAATAATTAACCGAACAGTAGTCAATTTTGCCACGGGGGCAAATGTAGCACCAAAATCACGACCTGGTACCTGAGTAAAGCCCTTCGCCACAAGTCTAGCCTTGTAACGATCAATAGTACCATCCGCAAGAAACTTCAGGGTGTAAACCCAGCGACAGCCAACAGGCTTCACCCCTGAAGGTAAGGAGACAAGATCCCATGTATGATTACGCTGAAGAGCGTCCATCTCTGTCTGCATGGCAAGAACCCACTGGGGCTCCCGCATAGCTTCCGAAATAGAGCGAGGAACCAGCGTATCTGATAAGGCCATAGTATAAGCTCGAAATGTGGGAGACAGATTACCATAAGAAACATAAGCAGAGATCGGATATAAAATCTTGGCGGTCCAACCATATCGATCAACTGGACGGCGATCACGCCTTGGATAACGACGCCCTAAATCACCATCCTCTACTGATAATATCTTATCAGGTAAAGTAACTGGCTCAGCACCTGTAATCTCATCAGTACTAACAACAGGTGCATCAATATGCTCAACAAACTGAGAAGTATTACCTGCATCGCCTGAGGTAGAGGGGATATCAGCAGGGTGATGAGAGCGAGGACAACGATCATACACCTGCAAAGGAAGAGAGACTGGTAACTCTGTACTGACAGGGATGAGTGACTCCTTTGGAGGAAAAACGGATGACCCTGTAGGGATAGTGATCAATGACTCTGACTCTTGTGGTAATGGAAAATCAAAGGGAGTATCATCAACTGGAGGGGCAGACAAAGGACTGAAAGGAAAATAAGGAATATGCTCAAGAAAGGTAACATCTAGACTGTGATACATACGACGCCTAATAGGATCATAACATCGATACCCCTTAGATTGATGACAATAGCCCACAAAGATACAACGAATCGCTTTATCATCAAGTTTATGACGAGTAGGAGACCGATCCTGAACAAAACATGTGCATCCAAAAACACGAGGGGGGACCGGAAAAAGTGTCCGCTCAGGAAATAAGACCTGTAAGGGAGCCTTATGCTGAAGAACACGACTCGGCGTACGATTGCACAGAAAGGTAGAAGTCAAAACAGCAAAATGCCAATAAGATTTTGGTACCCTCATGCCTCTAAGCAGACAACGTACCATCCCTATCAAACTCCTATTTTTCCTCTCAGCAACACCATTTTGCTCAGGAGTATATGGACAAGTGAGTTGCTGAAGGATACCCTGAGAAGAAAGGTGAGACACTAAAGCATCAGACACATATTCTTTGGCATTATCCGAACGAAGAGCACGAACAATGACATCGAATTGTGTCTTAATCATCTGTAAAAACTGAGTGATTATAGGGAGCACATCAGACTTCCTATGCCAAAGATAGACCCAAGTATAACGGGTATGATCATCTATAAATGTCACATAATATCTGGCACCTGACAGAGCAGTAACAGGAGAGGGTCCCCAAATATCAGAGTGTATTAGGTCAAATGGCTTGGGTGACTGGTGCATGCGAGGAATATAATTGGCCCTAACATGTTTTGATAGGGAACAGATAACGCAATCAAGTTTACCACCAACACAAGCATTACTCAAAGCAGGAAACAACATACATAAATATTTAAAATTTGTATGTCCAAAACGGTCATGCCACAATTGAACAGTTTGTGACGAAAAATCATAACGACAACTACTAGGTAAAATACTAGCATGCAAGCTAGGAACAGAAAAAGACAAAGCAGGTGCAGGTGAAGGAATTGGTGAAACTGGAGATGGATTGCCAAGATAATACAGTCCATCTTTCTCATGTCCCTTGATAATAATCCTCCTGGTACTCAGGTCCTGCAAATAACACGAATCAGATAAGAATACAACCGCACAGTGAAAATCTCTGGCTAACTGATGTACAGATAATAGATTCATGGCCAACTTTGGCGCATGAAAAACCGAATGTAATGTAAGGCCATCTGGGAGACGGACTGTACCCCTACTAACAATAGGGGCATGTGTTCCATCTGCTAACTGAACCTGTGTATGTAATGGCTCGTCAAAAGTGGTGAAGTGATGGGCCTCACCTGTCATGTGACCATTCGCACCCGAGTCCAACATCCAAAGGGGAGATGAACTGGCACAAGCGTGAAAGGCACGAGATATACCTGTAGTGGTGACAGCAGCAGTAGTCAGACTCTGAGAAGTCAGAGCAGACATAAGTATATCTAATCGGGAAGTGATAGCATCCATATCACTTTGCCAAGGAGGAGCAGTAGCAGGAGTGGCGGTAGTGGGCGGTGGTACCTCAGCAATAGCAACAGTACGGCTGCGAGAAGGTGGCTTAAGCTCTGGATGGAGCTTCCAGCAAGTAGCCCTGAGATGTCCTGGTCGGCCACAATAATCACATTGACGGGAATCCCCCCGTCTGCGCTGATCTGGGGCGCCCTGACGGCGCTGGTCTGAGCGTTGCCCATCCCTGACTAAGGATCCTGAACGGGACCCTACAGCAGCTGCAAGGGCCATCTGGTCAATCGAAGGAGTCAAAGCTGCAACTGGAAGTGATGCAATACGGACTCGACGCTCATGCTGCTCAATCATCCCATACACCTCATAAAGAGAAGGAAGTGTCAACATCGACAAGATCTGAAAATGAGGTCCCTCAAACTCATCACGAAGCCCCATAAGGAACTTGTGAATCCTATCCTCCTGCTCTCGAGTATGCAAGAATGCTGCTCCCTCGGGCTCTATCTTCGGAATAGCAGCAAGAGGACGTAGAGACTCATACTCAAGCCAGCGTTGGGTCAAATAGCCATAATAATCCTGAACGGTAATATCTCCCTGCCGAATATATGAGAGCTCCTGAGAAAGCTCATAAACACGAACTCCCCGTCCTGACTGAGAATACATTTCTGATAATGCGCTCCATAGCTTCGGAACAGAGCTATGAAACTGGTGGATCCTGCAAACAGAGGGCTCCATTGAGCCAAATAACCATCCAAGAATGGCACAGTTTTCAGAGAACCATGCAGAATATCCAGGGTCGGCATCAGCTGGCTTTGGGTGAGATCCCGTCAGCCAACCAAGCTTCCCTACACGGCCTAAGAAAAGCTGGAATGAGCGTGACCACTCAGCGAAGTTACGACCATTCAACAATTGTGCCGTAACTTTTTGAGAGATCATGCCCGGTAATGCTGGTAATGCAACTGTGCTAGTAGGCACTGTATACTGGTCAAACATAAAAGTGGAAGTACCCATAGATGTCTCAACGGTAGAGGTGTCAACAGTAGGGTTCTCAAGTCCCTCAGTAGTAGCCATATCAACAACAATACTAGGGCACCCGTGACAGAAAAATAACTCTAAGATAAATAGAGGAATAAAATAAGGGAGAACAATATACCTTCAGTCGAACAGTAGCGACAAATAGGGAAGGTCCAAAAAGCTCCCAAATAATCAGGTCACGGTGCCCAGAAATCCAAAATATATAAATAAGTGATCTACTGCATCAAGAGCAAATCAACAACCCCTCATAAAAAAATCCTAGATATAACAGTGGGTTGGGTTTATTGGTTGGCAGTGGGCTGGGTATGGATTTAATATGTCGGTGGGGTGTATGTTGTTTCGGCTGAGTATATGTTGTTTCGGCTGGCCTGTGTTGGGTTGAGAATTGTTTTGGGTTGGTTTGATGTATGTCAGTTGGTTTGATGTAGATTGGTTGTCGGTGGAGTTTGATGTAGGATGGGCAGTCGGTGAACGGTCAGTTGTGCAATGGGTTCAGTTGGACAGTGGGTTTCGCTTCAGTTGGACTGATTGTGTTGTCGGTGCTCGGTGCTTTATGGTGATCGGTGGCTGGTCGGTGATGTTGATGTTGTTGGTTTGTGGTATGCTAATCAGTGACAGGTTGGACTGCTGAAGGTGATTGTGGCTGGTCGGTGATACTATTCAGCTCGTTTATGGTGTTGATGTCTTGGGTGGTTTCTCTGCTTGCTGGGGAGATGTGGCTGCTGAGTATGCTGGAGGTTAGGGTTAGGGTTAGTGTTTTAAGTTTGGCTCTGATACCAACTTGAGATAGTTGTGAATGAAAAGGGATACTCAAATTAAGAGTAGAATCCCGTATATATATCCAAAAATAATACAGAGTGACTTAAAAACATCCTTGTAGTTTAGGCAAAATATAAAAATCATAGTAAGGGTAAAAAAGGGAAAAGAAATCCTAATAAACCTAGACTATCTATACTCCAACAAGAAATTAAACATATAAGTGTTAAATTTTAACCTATATATTTTATATATAGACTAACGAGTTTTTGATTTAATGGTACTTCTTATCTTGTGAAAATTGTCTTTTTGAGATTAAGGGTTCAAGTTTTCTTCAATCCTCCTCTCCCCCCAACAAAATAAATAATATATATTAATATATATATATATATATATATATATATATATATANTGAGAGGATAGATAAATTTGAAGATTATTTTTGGTATTTTTAAAATTATGATTGAAAACCTTAACTTTGACTGTCAACAAGTTTAAGGTTTGTTAGTTAAAAGATGTGTGATTGTTACGAGTTTTAAATATCAAGAGAGAGTTTGGTTCTATTTTTAAAATGTGAGTGAATGTGAATGTAATAAAAATCACATTTCAAGGGGTGTGAATATAATTTTACCAATAATAAAAATAAAAACCACCAACAGCAAAGAGTTCGAATTGGTAAGCGACCAATGACGTGGCAATTGGGTTAATGGGTTGAAATTGAAAAAGTTGAAACAGTGAAATAATTGTCCATCATGTGGATCAGATCACTTTTAACTCGGAACCCACACAGAATCTGCGGCTAACCATCTGACTTGATTGACGGATTGATTGCTAGAGTGATTGATTGAAAATCCAGGTATATAGATGACAAGAATTGACGTTGAGATAGACTCAGATTCTCTGGATGAGTTAGAATCTGATGCATTTCCATTCAAACACATCCATACAAATATTCCAATACATATAAGACTTTTAAGAAGAGGGGAATGAGTGGTATAGTCATAAATAAAGGTTTATTCATCTCGAAATGATTGCGGTTCTACCTTCATCTCACTTTTTTTTTTTCAAAAAAAAAAGGAATACTCAGAAAGAAACAAAAACACATCACTCCACATTAAAGACAGGTGAAATTGGTGTCTTGTGCTTTTCCTGTGCTTTTGATGGGTAAGCTTGGCTTCGTGGAGCTGAGAGAGATTTTTAGGGCCCAAGAAGGAACTGTAGTTGTGGTTTGCTTCAATTCTGCATGGGGTACCTGACTCCAGCTGCCAGTAGTCGCTGCTGCTCTAGCTGAATCATTAAATGGTTATAATGAATCAGTTGCTAATCTCTGAAGTGAACTGTAAGAGTTAATGCAATGCATATAGCTAGTTTGAGCCAATTTACATGGAACAGTTCGTGTAGTTTGTTCTTGAGATAACAATATTCGTGTTCCAGCAGCTCCAAACCTCTCAAGCACCTGAAACCCCATTTGGAGACATATGTTAGCATTAGCAACCCCTGTGAACTCCATCTCTATCTCTAGAGTCTACACAATCATTGAGAGAGAGAGAGAGAGGAATATGGAAAAGGCCAATTTAGCAAGCTNGTGAACTCCGTCTCTATCTCTAGAGTCTACACAATCATTGAGAGAGAGAGAGAGAGAGAGAGGAATATGGAAAAGGCCAATTTAGCAAGCTTCTGAACCCATATTTGTTTATTAAGAGAGCCACACACTCACTCTCTCTCTCTCTCTCTCTCTAGCCCATGTAGACCAGGAGGGAATGTAAAATGTGAAGGCACGAAAGCATAGAAAGAAAGGGCACCCACCCAGGTCTGTTATTCTGCTCGGAAGCTGCGCGAAAGGCAACGCATACATTTCTGACTCTTTTGGCACCAATGCTTGAACTACTCCCCATAAACTGATTTAAATGGATTCCCATTTTCTTGTAGTCGGAGAACTCTCTATCCAGCCTGTCCCATCACCATAAACAACATACCCACATAACCAATTCAAATATTCAATGAATGAATAACCGAGAAGAGAGAGAGAGTAAGAAACCCACAATTCATAAAGAAAAATCAATTCTTTACTCATATTTGTGAAAGAATTAAAAAAAAATGATTAAAAAGAACTATTGAGAGAATAAGAGGGAAGTAGAAAGGGATCGCAAATTACAGCAATCCTCTGAGATTTCTCAAGAGTTTCTCGGACTCATTGAAGTAGATGTTAACGACCTCAGAGACAAAGTTTGGTGAGGTTGCATCTTGAAGTTGCTGAAGCTGCAAGAACTGCTCATCCAGCACTCCCTATAATATTATTACACAAAAAAAAAATACTATCAACCCTATCACTATACTAGGCTGAATGATCACACCGTTGTAACGACCCAATGAACTGTGCATCAGCATAACAACAAGTAAAACAAAGGCTGCTAGAGCTAGACAGACTGGAAGTGAGAGAGAGAGAGAGAGAGAGAGAGAGAGAGAGAGAGAGAGACCTGGTGGAAGAGCAAAGCGAGCAGACGATTCATGTCGGCTCGCAACCGTTCCGCACCCAACCCAAGCATCCACAGAGGCAGACCCGTCTTTGCTTTTCACTTCTTCAAACCCGGAAGACAGAAAAGGAAGAAGGAAAGGCTAGCGTAGGTTACTGATGATAGAACCTCAATATACGGGTGGGTTTTCTGGGATTTGCTATTTCTGGGTGGGTTCAAGGCTGTGTCCTGGTTAGAGCGGGAAGAAATGAGCCCTGGGTGGAGTAATTTAAAGGCTGGGGGTGGCCCTGTACCCACCAATTAGAAGATGACAAGTAAGTTCCTTAATTTAGTACCCACAAAAATATTAAATATTAGGTGTAATGTAACGCTGTTAGTATAACTTTTTGACGTCCAAACTTGAATCATCAGTTAGACCGAATAAATTTTGAGATTAAATTTAGAGTTTAAATGACATGACAATTGACTTGAATTTTTTTAATTGGTGTAATGTAATTTGGGTTCTAATAAAAATTTTAAATAATCAATAACTATGTCATTTGAGCTTCAAATTTGATTTTAAAATTTGATCAGTGTAGCATTACTCAAGTTGAATTAATTCTTTGATTAAATTTTTATAACATTGTTCACAATTTCTAACCAGACCCCTTATTTGTTGAGTCGAAAAACTGCCGACCCGTTTAGTTTTGATTTTTGAATTTGATCAAAGTAGTATTGTTAATCATAAAAAAATAATTTCAATTTAATTTATCCATTTAATTCATCATAAATATTAAATTATTAATAATATTCAAAATATAATAAATTTTATTATTGCCAGTGTGGTATATCATCGCCTAGTATTGTGGGCTGGGTGTGTTACACGCTGTCAAGCTGAGAATGGACAACTTCGTCTTGTATGATGTCCAGAGAATCGAGGTGAATGCGGGGTATCAAGCGGACCAGCCTCCACAGACTGACTAAGACAGAGTCAAGGCCATAAGGCGCAGTTACAAGTGCGGTGGCGGAGGCGGAAGGCGACCTGCACTCGCCCGTACCCGGTCACCTCCGCGTGCTCTCTGCTTTTGCAGCAGAGTGCGGCGCTAAACGCTCACTCCCGCCCGACAACCACCTGCCCGCAGCCGCTAATGTCACCACCTGTTAAAACTCATAATATTAACCTTTTAATATGTGTCATTTTTAATGTGGTTCGTATTAATATGTCTATTTAATAAATTTAATGAGTCTACATATGTATTATTTAAATTTCATAAAATGCGAATCCACCTAATAAGTTTGTTGCAAGTTAAATTTTTNGTCTATTTAATAAATTTAATGAGTCTACATATGTATTATTTAAATTTCATAAAATGCGAATCCACCTAATAAGTTTGTTGCAAGTAAAATTTTTATTCTTTATATATATGTTTTTTTCCTAAAAATTACATTTAATGTTTTATTGTACTGTCAGACAAACGGGATTTATCTAGTTCAATTATATGCAGGCATAAATGAGATTCAACTTTGATAGTAAAATAGGTATTTCATCAAATTTATAAGTGTTGAGCGGTGATATACTTATGCTCCATTTGTTACGATGGAAAAATGAAAATATGAAAAGTTAGAGGATGAAAAGTTGGAAGAATAAATAAAATATCATGTGGTAAAAAAAAATAAAAAAAATAGAAAAGTGAATGGTAGGGGTGCAACTGGGCGGGTTGGACAATCAACCATTGATTATAACTCGATACGAATTTAAAAATAACTTGACGCGCAAATAAAAAATTTAAAAAACCTATAATTTTATGACTCAACACGAATCTAACATGACACGAGTCGATTGTCACTCCTAATCTTAGTAAGCACAAAAAAAAATTAGTCATTTTTATTTTTCATCCATCCAACCAAACACAAAGGAAAGAAGAGTGTATCATTCATTTTTTACATCCTTGAATGATAGAAAGTATACCCCTCTTACTTTTCATTCTTTTTACTTTTCATCATTCCTATTAAACGGAGCATTAATTTCTAGGGTTTTTGGATCGTGTTATAATTTTTAAATTATAACTTTTTGGATTACTCAAATCAATCCTATAATTATTATAACCAGTTCTAACAATTTTAGAATGAATCTCAAAAGTTCAAAAAAATTATAAATAAGTCTAAAAAAATTTGTAATACAACAATTTTTTTGATATTATAAACTTATCCTTACAATTGACTATCTCAGTCAAACGTGCCGGATGAAATAATTTCGTGTTAAATTTTAATAGATTAATGTCAAAAATTATTCCATCGATACACATTTTGATTATTAATTCTTGTCAAACAAATTTTGTTATATAAAATTTGCATTGTGTATAATTAATATATTAATAAATTATGTCGTGTATTTATTTTAATGAGCACATTTAACAACTTAAATAAGATTGGAAGTCCTGCCACCTGAGCTGAGCTGGTATATTTAATAAAGAAAATGAAAAAGAAGAAGGCACACGGGCCATAACTTTTTCTTTGCTTTTTCTAGATGCTGCCAAAACAGACACTAGACTGTTTCTTTTCTTTCCAGTTTTTCCTCTGACTCTTCTTCTCGATTAAACTGTTTGTTTTTTTCTTTGCAGGTCGCCATGCTATAGCCTCGTAGTTTGGGGTAGGGTGAGCGCCCGCTAAGCAAGGTTCTGTTACAGGAGGAGGAGTTTGACAATTAAAGGGCTGTGATGGACACTGATTCCATTATTTTTTCCTCATTTCTGTATTCATTAATTAAAAATTATATTTATTTTATTTTATTATATAGATAATTATTAAAATTTTATTTTAATATATTATTTCGGAACGAAAATATTTCAGAAATAGAATATAATTAATAATTATTTTTAATTATTGTTAAAATATCTTAAAACACCTCAAAATATTTAAAAAATATTAGTGAAAATATATTGAAATATCTCAAAACACCTCGAAATAATATAAAACACATGGAAACGTTGAAATTTCTCTTCAATAACTATTTTTGTTTTGGTTTTATTGATATATATTTAATAATTTAATTTAATGGACATAAATTCAAGTCCTACTCTCCCTTCCCCCTCCCAAAAATAAATAGGATAGATATAGATGAGGTGAACTTAGTATTTTGAAGTAAGATAATTAAATGAGATAAGAAAAGAGATTTAAGGGGTGAGAATAGTCCTAACTAAAAAAAAATTGATACCACACCTTTAAAATTTATTATGTTAAAGAATATTTTTATAATTTTGTAGGTCATTTTATAACAAAAACATTTATCACTTTTGCGAATTATTTTCCACTTTTAAGAATATTTTTACGAATATTATAAGTGTTTTTACTACAATTGTGGTAATTATTTTTATTAATTTTTTTTGGTGTAAAAATAATTATCACTTTTGTGGGAAATTTTACTATTGTTTTGATAATTATATTTATTACTTTTTTTGGTACCATAACAATAATAAAAATATTCATAACATCGGTAAAACTACTCACAAATGTGATAAATGTCAATTACACTGAAATTTTATTTTTTGATACCCTATACAACTCATTCTTTCTTTCTTGATGGTGTGACAATTGACTTTGGAGAAGATTACCGTCTCGCAAAAAAAAATTCATTTCGATAGTGCCAAAATTTAAAGTCCATGCGTTGAAATATAATTTTTTGTGTTTATGTACAACAAAAAAAATTACAATATTTTGGGTCATTTTTACAACTTTTGAAGATTATTTTTTAGGATCAATCACACTTTGACCCTCAAAAATTATAAATGATCATAAAAAAATTGTAAATAATCATCAAAGGTTGTAAATAATCCACAAAATTCATAAATGAGTCCAAAAAAACATTTCAAAAAGAAAATGATATTTGAATTTAATTTAGTGATCTAATTAATCATAGTCATTGAATTGATAACAGGTTTTAACCAATAAAGAATGATTAACTCAAGAAATAAAATTAATAAATTAGGTTCAATTAACATTGTTCTTTTCAAAAAGTTTAGTGAATTTCTTACTTGTTTTTTTATTTTATTTTATTTTATCATAGTTTTTTTTAATTATTTCTTAATTTATCATTACACCTATACAAAAGTAATTTACAACTCACATTTTCAAAGGCAAGATAACAAAGGACTATGATCGAATGAACATCTAAATGGTTCGAGCATATATTTCAAATAAAAATCATAACAGATATAATATGTAGTAAATCACTTAATAACAAAAAATTCTCTAATAACCACTGTGTTTAACATCGTATATAGGTAAACTTATTATTCTCAAATTTGTACCAACAAGCCTTTGGTCTAATAATACTCTTTATTTTGTGAAGATTTTGTTTTTTTGAAGTCAAGGGTTTAAGCCTCTTTCCCTCCTCCCCCTCTCCCCAAAAAAAAAAAATTATTCCCAAATTTTTTTTTTTGTGATAACCAATTGTATATGTAAACTAATATTACAATTTGTATAAACGAATCAACTTTAACCACGAACTACTAGCACTAGAATACATGATTGTTTGCAAATAACATTTATAGACTCCGACAATGGTTTAAGAACAAAAATATAGACACATACAACGCATTCGTTATGCAGACTTTGGCCAACCCCCCCCCCCAGTCCCCCAAAAAAAAAAAAAGATACGTACAATAGGTTTAATTTTCATTGATTTCTCCTAATCAATTAGTATCACTAAATATTAAACAGTAAAAAAATAATAATCTATAATATAAAATATGACAGATTTTAATAAGTTTATCCGACGGTCTCAAACAGACTCATCCAACAGCCACCAACAATCCTCTCAAAATTATTTATATTGCACCATGCCTGAAGGCACGGGTTATCCCTAATATTGACATATTGCAAGGCATCGAAACACTAAATCTTGTTTTATGTTGTTGCTGAAATTAATGAGAAAAAACATCATTTGTTGTCACGGACATACAACATGGGCTTGTAAAAAATAAAAAAACATATAGGTTCCACCCCACGCATGTTATGTTGTGTTGTTTGAGGAAACTGTACAAAGTGTGCAAAAACCTTCTGCTAGAGGATGGGTATACCATTTGTTTTGTTTATAAGTTTATTTATAGGAACCTCGAGTTACTCACTGGGAAAGGGAAATTAGGCATGCTTCATATTGACGTAAACATGGAATAAATAAGTAGTTATAATTAAAATGTTAAATAAAACACGAGTTTCTTCTTCAAATTGAATT